TTAATGGTGAATGTGTACAGGGTGATTCACCATAAATGTCCCCCCCTTTAGCTCACTTATTATTGAACCGATTTGAAAATTTTAAAAATCATCTTAGACGATTTTTCAGTTTTTTTTCCGTTGCATCAGAAAATACAGGGTGCTCGGACCAAACGATCTACAGAGTACTACTTGATTTTTTCAAATGGAACACCCAGTATTTCATTGTATTTTTATATTCTCCCTGGAGATCTGATTTCATCAATACATCACACTTGGGGTCTAGCGGGAATGATTACGGAGATATAGGGTGTTCAAAATCGAGATTTTTCAACTTTAGTATTTTTTTGTGTTGAAACAATTCATTATTGGTCAAAACCGCTTTCATGTCCGTATCTCTTTTTTGATTCACTATCTACTGACATTTATTAATTGGAACAGATACAGGGTGGTCAGAACAGGGGCGGATCCAGGGAACCTCATGGATATGTAAAAATGTAGGTTTTTGGAATAACTGAAGAAATTGGTGTATGTCTTTATAGCTATCCACCCGCCACCTACACAAAATATATAATAATAATAATAATAATGGTGTTGCCCTTGGCTAACAGAGAGAATCCTACGGTTTCCTCAGTGGATGACCATTATAGATCCTTCACCTATGTGTACCATCAATAACAAAAAACAAAATAGATGAGGAAATATATCAAGTTATGAGAAATATACTTGAACAGTTTCCGAGGAGAATGATGAAATGTCCTCCTTTTAGAAGATCGTTTCTGATATGTATATGAGAATGTGGGATACTAAACAAAATATACTAGACAATGGTAAAACTGCTCCGAAGTAATGTAACAAAAATTTGTTTCCTAATAACATAAACATTCTTCTGGAACTATTATGTTGCCTGCCTGTAAGTGTTGCATCTTCTGAAAGGAGTTTTTCAGCATTCAGAAGAAGATTGGATAAGATCCAGAATGGTTCAAGAGATCAATTGCTAAAAGTGCATCCCAAAAACTTGGTTTTATCTGTTTCGGGCCAGGAGCCATTTCACTTCCCGTCAGCTGCTTATGATCTATAATGCACAGATCCGACCTGTCCTGGAATACTGTTTCCATATTTGGAGTGCAGCTTCCAAACATACCCTGAAACTGTTGGATTCTGTCCAAAAAAGGGCAATTCGTCTCGTGGGTGATGCCTCGCTCACAAACTCACTCACTTCTCTGGAACACCGTAGAAAAGTGGGCGATCTGGCTCTATTTTATAGATGTTTTCAAGGACGATGCTCTTCTGAAATATCAACAATTGTTCTCCCTTGGCAGTCCCCGCGAGATTTACCCCGTCGAGTTGAGGCTTCGCACCCCTTCGTGGTCACTTTGGAGACCGGCAGAACATCTCTTTCCAAAGACTCGTTCATACAAACGAACAGCGAGGCTCTGGAACACATTGCCAAGGGTGGTGTTCCCCAAGGCATATAACCTCCAGAAATTCAGAACACTAATTCCTACCAAATTTCTCTTGGTTCTCACGATGTTCACTGAACATTACAGGATATCCCTTTTCGTGGGAACCAGAACATGAAAAAAGACATGTTAAATGTCTGAATGTTGATGTTCATCCAAAGATACGCTAGTCAGACGAATAGAAGACAGGAATTTGTTATTTAGTTTTTAAAATTGGATTCTTCATTTCATATTTTTTTATATTTGTCTGTTTCATTTGTTTTGTTATTGAAGAGGAATTCTTTTTCTTTTTTTACACCAGTAATTTCGCTATTTGAAAGGAAACTAAGGATTTCATGTTTACTAGTATCAATTTTTTTGATGAAAAAGCATTTGTCTCAGAAGGTAACCATATAATTTCTCTTCCGTGCTAATAACCTTATTGAGTCGTGACTTCCTATGCCCCCCCCCCTCAAACATCGTCTGGATCCGCCCCTGGGTCAGAATTCTGAATCTTGAATCACACTGCTGTATATGTTCCAAATTGAATGTCAGTAGATAGTAAATCAAAAGTTGAGATAGGGACATCAAAGCCGTTTTGACCAATAATAAATAGTTTCGACACAAAAAAATCCTAAAGTTGAAAAATCTCGATTTTGAACACCCCATATCTCTGTAATCATTCCCGCTAGACACCACAAGTGTGATACGACATGGATGAAATCAGCTCTTCAGGGAGAATATAAAAATACAATGAAATACAGGGTGTTCCATTTGAAAAAATCAAGTAGTACTCTGTAGATCGTTTGGTCCGAGCACCCTGTTTTTTCTGATGCAACGGAAAAAAAAATTCTGAAAAATCATCTAAGATGATTTTTCAAATTTTCAAATCGGTTCAATAATAAGTGAGCTAAAGGGGGGGACATTTATGGTGAATCACCCTGTATACACATTCACCATTAATAATGACTACTTCTGATGCAACGGGAAAAAAATTCTGAAAAATCATTTTAGAAGATTTTTCAAATTATTAAATCGGTTCAAAAATAAGTGAGCTAGAGGGAGTGACATTTATGGTGAATCACCCTGTACAAAGGCTCAGCTCCGTATATAGCTCAAACGGTTCCTGAGATAAGAGCAAAAAACTGTTTTTTTTTTTAAACCATGTATCGTGAAAACGGAAGCCCGCAGAAAAATTTCGTAAAGACAAAAAAATTCCCTTTTCATATGAGGAATCTACAGTTTTCCATTGTGTCACTTATTTGTCACCATCCTGTATAGGTTTAGGTAGGTAGGATAAATATACCTATAATTTTCTACTATAGTAGGTAGGTATAGTATAGGTATACCTATAGAGTTGCCTAGAGCGAAGAGACATTTATACCGATTTTGATTATATTCCAGTCAGTGTATAGCAATACTCTATAAATAATATCATTTATTTATATTATTATGCCTTCATCAGGTATTATCTATTTCGATTATACAGAGTGAGTCTTGACCATGTCATATAACTATTGGGATATAGGCTAAGGGCCGATTTGGATCAAAATATGGCGGTAGGATCAAATATGCCTCGAGAAAAAAGATACAGAGGGCGTTAAAATCGATCGAATTTCTTCTTTTTCGTTTTTTGATGATGATTTCACTGTATATAGTTATATACAGTGTGTCCCACTTACCATGCTCACCATGGGTATCTTTTTAACGGTGAGAGATACGAGGTCGGTTAAATGACACCAAATGTGGAGTTTGTCAAGGCCAACTATAATGTGAAAAAATATTTTGATAAAATCTATTCGTTTTTGTTTTATACGCAAAAAACAGATTTTGATCATTTTCATGTCTCCTCCGTAACTTCTTTATTTATAAAAATATTCAAATAGGAATTTCACATTCTCATAGCAGTTTTTCATAGTGATTTCGAAAAAAATATGAAATTTATACCAACTCTTCTAGAATTTGAGATATCAGCACCAACTTTAGTTTTTCAAATGTAGTTCATAGCTCACTATGACTTAGTTACAAATAACTTTTTTTTCTCTTTCAGATGATGTGTCGCAGTAATAGTTTTGTGTTGATAACAACGGAGTTATCGTCATTTATTATACAAAAATAAAAAATTATTTGGAAGCCGCCATCTTGAATTTATAAATTTTAACAAAAAAATCTTGATCTCCGACCTCAAAAACCCCCACTTACCCATTTTGAATGGAATCGGACCAAATCTTGTCCGCCATCTTGGAGCAGCCATTGTTTTTAATTTCAACAAAAATTCCATAATGTATTGTCACCGAAATTATGAACACCTGCCAAATTCCAAGTTAATCGGGGTCATGGAATTTTTGTTGAAATTAAAAAAAAATGGCTGCTCCAAGATGGCGGACAAGATTTGGTGCGATTCCATTCAAAATTGGTAAGTGGGGGTTTTTGAGGTCGGAGATCATGATTTTTTTGTTAAAATTCATGAATTCAAGATGGCGGCTTCCAAATAATTTTTTGTTTTTGTATAAATGACGATAACTCCGTTGTTATCAACACAAAACTATTACTGCGACACATCATCTGAAAGAGAAAAAAAAGTTATTTGTAACTAAGTCATAGCGAGCTATTACCTACATTTGAAAAACTAAAGTTGGTGCTGATATCTCAAATTCTAGAAGAGTTGGTATAAATTTTAATTTTTTTCGAAATCACTTTAAAAAACTGCCATGAGAATGTGAAATTCCCATTTGAATATTTTCATAAATTAAGAAGTTACGGAGGAGACATGAAAATGATCAAAATCTGTTTTTTGCGTATAAAACAAAAACGAATAGATTTTATCAAAATATTTTTTCACATTAAAGTTGGCCTTGACAAACTCCACATTTGGTGTCATTTAACCGACCTCGTATCTCTCACCGTTAAAAAGATACCCATATGGTGAGCATATGGTAAGTGGGACAAACTGTATAGGTATGTATATCAATTTATATGTATCAATTGTTATCAAAATTGGTACGGAGGCATAAAGTTATACAGGGAATATCATTTAATTCATTATTCTATAGTTTCTCACAGGAGGGCGCCACTTGAATGATTTCTGATAATGAAATTGACTGGCAACTTTTTTGATACTTTTTAGTGATTTTGATTAGAAAATATGACATAATCATTATTTCTACGTAATTAGAGCTAGGTAATGATAATCCTGTTTAAACACGAATATTTTCATTCGTTTTCGTGACATTCAAATATTATTTAATTTATGAAGAGTGTGCTTCGGACTGGCACATAATTGTTGCTGGTAAATGACCATTCTTTGTCAGTGAATAATTTTATTTGGTGCGACCTTATATAGACAATACTATTTCGATTGAAACGCCTTGTATCTTTTTCCACGGCAATATTTTATTGAGGCATGGCATAGGTATTTGGTCCTATAGCCATATTTTGGTCCAAATATCCGACCTCAGCTTTCACCTTATTTCCCAATAGTTATGACTCACCCTGTATAATCATTAATCCTCATAACCAGCGTCAGTGGTTAGATATAATAATTCATCTCTTGCTCGAAATCACTTGGAACTTGGAACTATAAACGTAGAAACACGGTGAAGGGAGACAATACTGATATGCGCGCGCCTGTTGGCCATTTTGTCATATTATAATTAATTAACCTTTTGTTGTGATGTTTCGAGATGACTTGTCTAAATAATAGGTATTTGTTTGTCTTCGCCTACAGTCAGTGTATTGATTTAAATTACGCTAATAATTATAATGAGATAATTGGATAAAATAAAATGCCACTTATGTCCTGAATAACGATCGTCCCAAGCGACGGCAGCTGACAGAGAGTTAACGTGGATTATTGAAACGATCGTCTGCCGCCGGAACGATAAACTGGGTGCAGTGTGCTCAATTTACATGATTTCTCATTGTTGAAGGGTGTTTCATAGTGTTGGTGTCATTGCAATACTCGGATATTTGGTATGCAACGGTTTAGCTCATTAGATTTGTCGGAAATATGTAGCAAAGTGAGTAAATAACAATTAAAATGTTTACCGTTTCGACCATCTCAAGATGGCTGCCGTCGGAATTCGTTCTGCGTATCGGAATAAGATCGTGATGTATTACAAAAGTCTTGAATTGGAAAAGGATTCCAGCATATTTTCTAGCTTTATCATCGAGCACGTTCGTGTTTAAAAAGTTATTTTCCAGTGATCCTTCGTTAATAAAGCGATTAAACACGTAAGAAAATTTATTTAGGCGGGAGTCGTCTTCCGCCGGATAATGATCGTAGAAAATAACTGAGTTTTTTTCATCTTTCCGTTGATACCTTCAAGGCTTCAAACTATGTGTGAACTCGCGGAAGTATCTCAAAAAGTCTGGTCATGCTGGTTTCTAGACGCAATTACGAAAATTCGTTCGCAAAAGCAGCGGCCTAGTGTTGAAAGGATTTGTCATGCGATAAGACAACACCACAACAATTACCACGAAGACGTTATCGCGGAACATTTAGAAGCTTCAGTTAAAGAAGGGGCCGTGCTGAAGGTGTTCAACAAAGGCCAGAGTTCCTATAAAGATCCAGGTGGCTTGCAGAATAGGACTTTGAAAATAGAACAGGGGGTCGATTTGACGAAAGTTGTGACCAAGGCAGTCCGCGAATTAGGTGAACGGGACGGTTCTACGTTAAAATCCGTTGAGAAGTACATCAGACAGTCTCATACCATCGAGGAGACCACCGAAAATGACCTGAAAGGGGCCATACGAAGTGCTATCAAACGCGCGGTTAATAGAAGTTTCGTCTTGCAAGATGGTAAAAGCTTCAAATACAACTACAACCACCAGAGCCCCGGATTCAAGAAACGGCAAGACGGTTCTAGAAGACTCTCTCAAAATCCCGATGACCAGAATTCACAAATCAAGGTGGGTATTCCATTTTTTTATTCTCCAATTAATTTGCTATTAGGTATTATCTGATCAACCTGTGTAGATTCAATAATACCACAGTTGAGAGAATATATATATGTAATATTCTCTCAACTGTGATAATACCTACCTATACACCTTCCTATAAGTGCTATAATTAACTTTCCATCAACAATAATAATCCAGATACTTAATGATAATAGGTAATTCATCATCACCAAAGATCTGGCCCCCACTATCATCACAGTTTATTAAGAGGTTTATTATTATAATAGTAAACAGAGTACTATATGGAACAATTATACAGGGTGGTCCTTAAGTAATTGTACATGTGGTATATTTTTGACTTCAAAACATTAGGAGCAACATAATGATTTGAGCCAACGTGCCCTTATAGAATATAAGAATATAGCTAAAAAATTGCATTTATTTTTTGCAGACATTTCTTCGTTTTTGAACATGGATACCTACGATACAAATTTTGTAATTAGAGATGTTTCCGGCGAGGTTTCCGGGTATGAGAAATCATAATTTGGTACCTAGGTGGCTGAATTAATACCTAATTTTTTTTCTTCATTTTTTATAGGGCACCACAACTGCCACAAGCCACTTTTGTGACATAAACACCCATAAATGCGCACCACAATACATCTATCATTCCAATAAGAATAAGTTATACAGGGTGACCCAAAATTGCTGGGACACAGAGCTAGCACATGTATTACATTTCAAAATAAGTTGATTGGACTATTGGATCCGAGATTGGACCCAACTTATTCATTTAAAAAAATGTACCATTTGTTGAGACGAGTTCAGAGTTTACATTAAAAAGCACATTTTTTTATGCTGTCAAAAAATGAGTGAAATAAGTTGGATGTAATTTGGCAAAAGTGCATTTCAGAAGATAACTCTTCTTTCAATGATCAAAGAAACCCGAAAGAAATTGTAGAAGGGTTTAAACCTCCCACATTTCTAAAATTTTCTGTGCGATTCTGATTAATTATCTTCATTTTGTTATTCCTGTGAAAATTAATGTGCATATTTCCGAAGGAAAATAATGTTTTTTTTTCTAAATAATGAAACATATTTTTTTTTTCTAAATAATGCTAACAATCTATGGTGGAAACGTGGAAACAAAGGCAGAACATTCTTTCTGATTGATGATCAATAGGTATGACGCCCACCTTCAACAAAATGTCAATTCCTTCGGATTCCACTGCCAACTAGGTACCAACAAATTTTATATTAAAATCGAGATTACAATGTTATCAAACTTTTACTATAAGGAATAGGTATTTGTTAGCGTTATTTAAGAAAACATTTTTTTTACTTCGGAACCGATTTCGGAACTATGCGGAAAACGAAATTTCCCTCGAAATTTCCACAAGAGTAACAAAATGAAGATAATTCTGTTCCTAACCATGGATAGCCAAGCAAAAAATAATTATGGCTGTATAGGTACTTGTCAGAATGAATCACACATTTAGCTTCCTGAACGTGAAATAGTGTAGCAAAATACCACTCTGTTCTGAAAACTTTCTCATAATTGTGTCTTTCATTGTCAACTCAATTGTGTTGCTTGGCAATAGAATCGTGAACAATGAAGTGATAGAACTATCTCGAATATTTAGAACATGATATGTATTAGGTACTTATATATTATATGAGAATACAATAGTAGATTGTTTTATTAGGATCAAAAGTGACACTTTGTTTGACTAGCGAATTTTGCATTTGCAAGGCGAGCGTTTAGCAAAGCCCAGCGAAAGCAAAATTTGCGAGTCGAACAAAGTCACTTTTGATCCGAATGAAACATGCTATTTTTTCTGCAACCGAAACAATTAACTCAAATGAATATGTGAAGTAACCACCAATACTGTGCCATATGTATGCAATGCAACAAATATTGACAAAAAATCCGTGTGATGAGAATATTCTACCTGCATTAACAGCAGGTTTATTCAATTTTCAAGGATGTTCAAATTGAAGTTTCAATATAAATACAACCATCACAGAGTGACATATTTGTGTATGGACCAGGTGCTCTAATGGCACCTACTGCCAGTGCCAGCTATTGGAACAAGACGTGGAAAATGTTAGTGAGCATATCAGCAATAATAATAGCGATTATTTATTCCTCTCCATACTACAGTGTGTTTTACTTGATAAGCAATTGAAGGTGAACTATATCGTTGATAGAGACAATGCCGTGATTATTCAAAAGCAAGCTATCCATCCCGAGAATAACGAATGAAATACAGATCAAGCAAGTATTTGAATCTTGAAGGCTTCCCTGATCAAAACAGAAATACTCAACTGAGATGTTCATAGTTCCAATACTTGACTATAATGAGGTGTATTTTTATCTTTAGCATGGATATGAAATGCCAACTCTGCCGAAATCGGAAACAAATCAAGTATGCGTCTCAACCCAAATAACCAACCGTAACAATGTTGTTAATTCTTGAGACGTACAGTACATCCTTTTTAGTTAACTTTAGCTCCTAGGAACTAAAGTTCAACTTTAGCTCCTAGGAACTGAATATGTTGCCTAGCAACATACCTATTTTTGTGTCAGTAATAGAAACGTCAATTCAAGAGCTGATTTTGGTATCAAAATGGCCGACTTTTGTGTCGGTTGCAGAAAAACGTTTTTTGTTGTTCTTTGAGTTTTATTTAGGTAGATAAAATATATATATTTTTAAGTAGATTAATAAGAAAAAGTTCGAATTGATTGAAAAATACCGAGAAAAATAGTATTTTCAACTTTTTTATAGGTAAAATTCATGACTCAATCCAAACTTGCTATACTCTGTTGGTTTAGAAGGCGAAGTATTGGATTGTGCCGAGGATTGTGCCAATCATCAGCGTACTAATAATTGCTGCTTTGACTTGACCGCTTCACCTGGAAGAAATCGGAAACCTCGTCGGAAACCATTTGTCGTTTAGAGCGAAAAAGTAGAAAACTATTCGTCGTCGGTTAGTCAGCACTCTTTCAGAAACAGCGTGTAGATAATATTTCCAGTTGCATTAGAATTATCGTTGGAATAGTATTGCTGTCAACATATGGAAGCTATTCCTGATTGATCTAGCGTTGTAAAACACCCGAAATGTTCGGCCCGAGGTTCTGCCTTGAGTGTTATGAAAAAAAAAAGATCTTCCAGAAAGGTTATGTACTTGAAGGTATAAAATATTGAAAGGAAATAAAAGAACAGGAATGTTGGCTGCTCTCAAGCTTCATGAATTTGATGCAAATGATTTTCGTCGTCACGTGCAATTTTTCTTCTTTAAAAATGAACTGTCTTCTTTTTGAGGAAAGGTTTTCGTCGCTATTCATCAAAATCCTAATTAACATCGCTTCACCAAATGGATTATGTAGGGAATTTTGAGAAAAATCGAATACCGACATTTTGAAATGATGTCCTGAAAGTTTTCTCCTCGGTTTTCTCACTGACAAAAGGGAAATTAAGAGCGGAAAATATATTCTCTAGATGGGTCTGTTTCATTGAAAATGTATTTTTCTACAAGCGTGCGTGATTCACCCTATACCCGCACGCAATTTAGTTTGGGAAGTGTCATTTTCCCGCTACAGTGCGGGAATATTTTCCCACACTAGTGCGGGAAAAAAGATAATTATGATGAAATCGCTAGTAATATAAGTGGTTGGTGATTGAATATAATAGTTTAAGTTTGTTTGTTGCAGTATTAAGTATGTATGTTCAGAATAATCCATCAAATTGCACTATTTATTGTAAAAATTAAGAAATATTGAGAAAAAAAATTGATTATTATAAAAATCCCCCTATAGATTTGGAATGATCTGACAAGAAACGTCAATTTGTCATGCCAATCAAACCTCAAATAAGTTTGAAATTGTCGAAGTGACAGAAACAGCGTTACTGTCATTTTCGATTCAGTGGAAATGCCACAATGTGATCAAAAACTTCTAGCTATAGGGATTTGATACAGATGCGTTATCACCAACGAAGTCTTAAGAAAGGTATGAGAAGCTATACACGAGTTTTATTGAATGGTGCAACAATAAAGAAATGAAAAAAACCGAATGAAGAATAGGTATTTTTGGCTCATTTCATAGAAGTGTCTGGAACCTAGAGACCAAACTCCTAATGGGCCTGCTGGCTTCCGCAATGAACCAACATAATGCGTCAAACTGTAAGTTCACAATAGCTATTACTAATAATTAATAGATAGAGAATATATATCTCTTGTTAGTTGTTCCTATTTTCTTGAATAATTAATTGAACGATTCAATCAATTTCCTACGCTTGTAGAAAAAATATTGTTCCTAACTCATGCGGAAAGTGTCTTTCCCGCACTCGACTGCTTGCCCGAACTCCGCTTCGCGTCGTTCGTGTCAACGGCAGTCACGTGCGGGAAAGAATCACTTTCCGCACTTGTTAGGAAAATTACTATTTCATAACTGCATTCACTGCAATTATCAATCACTATGACGACACGATCAACTTTGATAATTTCAAATTATTTTCCGCAGAATATCGACATTGACAAATGCATCATAATTTTATGACAAATTTCTCAAGCTCGTTGCTTGGCGAATTATCTGGTCTATTATCAATGTCCTAGGGATATTACTACTGAAAATTTGTATTTAATTATTTTGATGTATGTATGAACCCAAACTAGTTCACCATCGCAAATCGTTTTCTTCTCAGAGCCATGAACATTATTTAAATATATTTCTATTTTTGTTGAGAAATATGACACTAATGGTGCTTATTGATAGATACAGGGAGTCATGTAATATGTAGTACTAGGGTGACAAGATTTTGATGATGGAAAAAGAGTACCTTTAGTGCCTGTCAAGCAAAATAACAAAACGAAAAAGCGCTGCAGGCGTTTTTTTAACTACTCAAGGTCAAACGAGCTCTCAGGTACTTAGTGATGCACCAGAATATCAAGAATTTTTGTTTAGCGTTATCTAGAAATTCAATGTAAATTATTATACCCTTCACGTG